GGTTGAGTGGATTTTGTCTGCTGGTGAGATGGCCGGTAGCTGGCAGCCCTCGGCAGCTCCTGGGTTGGAGGATTTAGGGCTTTCATCCCCACCCCTCAACCTCCAGGGAGGCAAATGGGTTTGAAGGCTAAGCTGATGCCATCACCCAGTGATTTAGTCAGCCATGCCTATAAGCACCCAGAAAGGACAGTGCACATATCCTCCAGACGGCAGCCTTGGAAGATCTCTAGGGAAGGCGCAGAAACTTTTCCATACTTACTGCCCTGGATATCTTCTCAGCTGGCTTTGAGAAAGCCATGGAAAATACCATGACAGGCTCCTAGTAACTCAGTTCAGAACTAGGCCTCAGTTCCTGCCTCTTGAAAGGAGGGGAAGAGCAGTACTAGGCCTGGGATAAATACCTCCCCCCACTGCAGGTAATATCCAAATACAGATATAACCTGGGTCTTGTCCAGACTTGCCCAAGAATGGACTTAGCCCCCCACCCCCAGCCCTACCCAATTAGAAATGTTATTAGTATGATTGCCACTTGTGTAAGCCAATCCTAGGTAGAATGATCACACTGCTTTTAGAATTCCTTTAGTTGTGTATAAAAGAGCCTGCAAGCTTTTCTTAGGGGTAGCCATTTCACCCTTTTGTTGGATGTGCGGGCCCCAACATGCTGGCATTTTTACTCTTGAGATAATAAACGCTGCCCTTGCTGATTACATACGTGAATGGTGGTCTTTTGTGGGACTTCTCAAGGACCCTAACAGTTTTCATCAGTGTCCTTTGTCATATCCTTTAAAATAAGCCAGTAAACATAAGTAGACATTTCCTTCCAGTTCTGTGAGCCACTGTAGCAAATCAATCCACCTGGAGAGAGAATGATAACCTCTCTGATCTGTAGCCAGGCCTGTGGAATCATGGGTAAAAGAGCCTGGAGAATGTCATTGACTTCAGAATGGGGGCCTGTGCCAACCACTGGTGAGACCCTAGAGTCTCTCCAGGTGGACATTGCCAAACTGAGGTGAATAAGGAGATATGGTAAGGAGTTAGGAGGACCGTTCTGCCTACTCCTCTTCAGTGCTTCGGTAAGGACAATTATCAACAGAGTCACAGAAAGGGAGTATGAGAACTTGGAGCAGTGAGTGGAGCCTCTAACACTAAGATGGCAAATGAGTCATCTCATCTACCCACTAGTCTGGTCCCAAGGTTCTGTGAACTGGCATCTGGGTAAAGGGACAAAGGCTCTTTCTAGAGGGCAGGGCAGAGTGGCCCTAGGGTGTCAGGAGTTCCTGATGTCGTAGGCACTGGTGAATTCTAGACATTCTGAGTGGCTACACAGTCTGCACTATCCCACCCCCACCCCCCACCCCGTTCACTCAAGAAAAGTCCCCTGGCTCTCCTGGAATTTCACTTATTTGTCTGTAGGCTGTTTTGAGATCTTTCCGTGGAGAAGTGAGATCCTAACAGAAAGAAGCTGCAGGCGCATTGCACACACCGAGAAGCACAAAGTGCGCTGTTGGAAGGCCAGTCCCCCATGGACACACCTTCAGGTTTGAGTTTACAGCCACAGTCAACCTGAGGACTTTTCATTCTCCTACAAGGCTAAAGTTGGGGCACGGCTGGAAATGGAGTCGTTTCCCTGTTTCATGCGAAAGCATTTGGAAACGGATGGATCGTTCTGCTGTTTGCACAACTCGGTGAAGAAAGTCAAAGCTACCTATGGATACACATTTAAAGGGGCACTGGGTGGGGACATGGGTGATATTTCAGTCAAGCTGTGGCCCTATTGCCTACAAAGGACTCCAAGAGTTGGAGTTGAGCTTGAAACTTGATTCTTCCACAAGCCAGATGTGGAACTTGGAAGAACCCTCCTTGAGACTTGGCTCCTCTGTGTGACCAGATGGCAGTTCTGTCATGGAACCCATATGCAGGGGCCGTGAGAACATGCCTGCGACAGTGCCTGACCCATGGGATACTCCTAGGAAGTGTCTGTGCTGTATGAAGTCCCTGTGGCTTTCTAGATACCCAGGATACAGAGATGGATCAAACTTCCTTCTTGGCTGCAGAGAAGAAGCAGACTGAGGTGAGACAATATCACTGTGCTATCTGCCTTAGCCACTGTTCTATCTGTGAAGAGACATCAAGTCCAAGGCAATTCTTATAAAGGAAAGCATTTAATTGGGGGCTGGGTTACAGTTTCAGAGGCTTAGTCAATTATCATCATGACAGGCAGCATGGCAGCACTCAGACAGGCATGGTGCTGGAAGAAGTAGCTTTGTATCTCAATCTGTAAGCAGCAGGCATGCGAAGCAGGGCACAGGCATGGGTTTTTGAAGCCTCAAAACCAACCCCAGTGACATATCTCCTCCATTAAAGCCACACCTACTCCAGCAAGGCCACGCCTCTTAATCCTTCCAAGCAGTGAATCAGCTGTCCACTAAGCATGCAAATACATGAAATGTAAGGTGAGGGTGAGGAGGGCAATGGACACAGGGAAATAGGCTCCACTTTTTGAACACTGCTCTCCTGATCACTCCGTCCCTAGGACCCCATAATCAAGTCTGCCTTGCCGCCTTCTTCTGCCTTTCCTTGGCTCCGTTGCTTTTCATGCATTGATTTGGGTGCTTCCTTAAACACTTGTGTCCTTCCAACATAGATGGGGAGTTTCATGAGGCCAGAGATCTTGTTCGTCTGTGTGCCGGTGATCAGCGTCCTGTACTTGGAGGAAAGATGTGCTGAGGTAAAAAGGTAAGAGCTGGAAGTAGGCAGCCCTGACCCAGTAAAGAAGGCACAAGGGCATCCAGCAGCTACGACACCCAAGACTGCACAGTACATAAAAGGGGGGTGGGGAGGAGAAGTGGTAAGTGATGAAGATGGAGAAACGGGGAGGGGTGGGGTGGGCTCCAAAATGAGACTTGGCTCTTGCTTCAGACTCTACCCACTTCAGAGTCCCCTTCTCTATTGGCTCCAGCTCATGACAAACCCCCACAAATCCCCATAGGCTTGCTGAGTGCAGCTGGCGAGTTTCTATAGTAACTGTCACCATAGCACCAGAGGCCTGGATCCAACTTCCAGCTCTGCTAAGACCCCGAGCTGCTGTCATCCACTCCCTCCCTAGCATCCTTCATTCCACAAGATAGAAAGGAGACCATGGCTTGAGATGTACTCATGGGGGCCATAGCTGGGGCCCTGCAAGGAGGGCTGTGACTGAGACTCAGGGCTCAAGGTGACAGGATTAAGCATGGCATCTGCAAAAACAGAACTGCCCCAAACTGACCATCCTGAGGATCTCAATTTGCATTGCTTTGCTCAAACTGGGGAGGAGCACCAGATTTGAATATGCAGCAAATGTGGGCAGAAAGGCCTCCCTGGGGTCCTGCAGGAAGCTCTAGAGAATTCACAGTGTGTGTGTGTGTGTGTGTGTGTGTCTAAGTTCCTGTGGCTCCCAAACCTGTGGACAAGTGGGCTCTTTGGGCCTCATCCCCTCATTCTGTAAATGGAAAGGGTACATAATGATGCTACAATCTACTCCAGATGCCAAAGAAATAAGGCCTGTGCCTTATTCTAACGGCTATTCCACAAACACTCAGAGAATGCAAACTGAGTTCTTGGTGGTAGAGCGATGACTCACATGCACAAGGCTCTGGGTTCCACCCTTGGCACTGAAAACACTAAATCTGAGTAGTGCATTAACAGGTAATATTTTAAGTGTTTGTGTGTGTGCCTGAGTGTATGTGTATCACATGCCTGCAGTTCCCACAGAGAACAGAAGAGGGCATCAGCTCCCCCTGGAACAGGAGTTACAGAAGGTTGTGAACTGCCGTGTGGGTGCTGTGAACCGAACCCACATCCTCTGGAAGAGTAGCCAGTGTTCTTAACCATTGAGCCATCTCTCCAGCCCCTGGATAAAATCTGAAACGAGATGTCACCTCTCAGTGAACACAGCTGCACCCCCTGACGCCCATCTATGCTCACTGCTCCACATTCTGTTCCTCTTCTGCCATGGCCCAGCACTCCTGGGAGCCCAGATAACAGAACACGAACGGCATCCTGAGTCATGAACTTGACTTCTTTTTCCAACCACTGTGACTTGTTGGCGGCCTTCTAACCCGGGGCCTGATGAATGCTCTCTGAGCCCCAGTTACCCAACCATTCACCTCTGATGATTCCTTTGGTTGAAAGACTTTGAAACCCCACTGAGCTGGCCTAATCCCAGTGGAGGGGAGGCAAGAGTGGTCAGATTTAGCAAACAGAAATACAAGATATCAAGTAAAACTGAATTTCAGATTAAAGCTTTTTAAAATTATTATTCTAGGTATGCCCCTAGTGTTACATATGGCATACTTACCCTGGGGGAAAAAATTCCATTGTCAGAAATCCAGATTTAACTGGATAACTTCTATTTTCTCTGGCAGCCCTAGGCGGGGCAGATACTAGAAAAGGAGCCGGCTCCCCGTGCTCACGTCGTGAGGGCCCGCCCCCATGCGCTTTGCTTTCGGTAGCTCTAGGGAGGCTCACTCCATCAGAGGCAAAAATAGCTAGCAGCTGCTCTCCCCACAGCCCATCTTACGTCATGTTGAATGTCCCCGCCTCAAGGACCTTGCCTACCACCCTGCAATCGGCTGTCCCCTCACAGCCTCCTCTGGCAATTGATCACATCAGGGCCCAGTGACTGTCCTGCTGCCGTTCTCAGCCCTGAGACTCTGGGTCTCAGCACATATGTGGCAGCTGTCCACAGCTGGCTCCGCAAGCCTGGGCCCCTGGGCCTCTGGTTTGTTTCAGATGTGTGGGGTGAGGGAGATCACAAATGAAATGACGTCATAATTTGGGCCAGGACTGCAGAGGCAGCAGCCGCAGCCTTGGCTGAAGACAGCAGGTGCATGGCAGAGCTCTGTCTGCTGCCAAGCAGACAAATGGGCACGGCGCTGCCTGTGCCTGGATGCTCCCGAGAATGGGAACCTGCAGATTTATGAGGACATCTCTAGATCTGGAGTGGTGGTCCCACATCTTTCATCTCCAGCGTAGGGCAGCCTGTCCTGCAGTTCTATGGGGACCTTTCAAGATGTTGCTGCAAAGTTCTGCAGTGGAACAGCCCAGGGTGGGTGTTAAAATGCAGATTCTCTGGCACCGAGAATCTCGAAGGCCATTTCAGTTTAGCAGCCACCCTGAGGGTGCTTACGACCTCTATAACTTGGAAATGAACTTCCAGATTTCCCATTTTCACTCATTCACACCCTCACCTGCACCCATGACAGTGGGGCTGGGCACCCTTCTCAGAAGCTTTCTACCCCCACCACGCCGCTCCCTCAGCCCATGTCAGAAGTGGGGTGCACCTCAGAGAAGAGCAAGAGAAGGAACCATAACTCTGTGTGGCAGAGGGGACCGCCACCTGCCCATCACTGTGCCCGTGTGACTACCAAACTCGAGAGCAGGAACTACCATCCCTGCGTCCCAGGTGAGAAACCCGGAACTCTGGGGGAACAGGTGACCTGGCCAACGTGCTAGAGGTCAGTGCCCTTCTGTGGGACACCAGAGCCCCACCAGAGGCTCCAGGGGGCTTCTACTCCGAGCCAAGCTCACCCCCAAATGCACTGAGTAGAAAGACAGTCACGGTGCTGAGAGAAGCATTGGCCAGCATTCCTCTTTCCTCCCTAAATCAGGGTTACCCTTAAGCTGGGGGCAGGGGCGGAGGATGGCGTGGGGGTGGGGGGCTGGCTACCTGAGAAGCCGAGGGTGGCTTTGGAGAGAGTGGCTAGATCCTGGGAACAGGATGAGCTTTTCCCAATGGACTCGCCATTCATTCCCTAGGAGCCTGTGGCACCTCACAGAAACACCGGTGACGTCTGTGCAGCACTGTCACCTGCCTCCAGGTCCCCCGCTCAGCTGTTATCAAATTTAACGGGAATTATTCCGAATATAGTCTTAAATGACAGGAAATCGACATCAGTAGTCAGGGTATCATCATACTCTGCTGTGGTTTTCTCTCTCTCTCTCTCTCTCTCTCTCTCTCTCTCTCTGGCTATATTTAGCTTCACCGATGCAATCTAATGTCTAGTCATGGTTAAGCATTTGCAGATTCAGAATGGACCGCCCACTGTGGATTCTTCCCCATGCTAGGCACCAATGGCTGCCATGCTTTGTGACTTGCTCCAATAGACCATACCCCATCCCCCCAAATGTCTGGGAATCTTGACTGTCCTCCAAAGGCTTTCTTCTCACCTGTAACAGTATTCAGAAGTGACGGAAGTGTTCAGAGGTGGGGGCTAGTGAGAGGTCTTCAGATCCTGGGGTGTGGGGTGTGTCCTTGTAGAGGATTATGGGATCCAGCTTCTGCCCTCTCTTTGTACCCTGCTGCTATGAAGGGAGCTGGCCTCTCTCACCACAGGGACAGAAAAGCAGTAGACAGGCTACCAGAGACTGCAATCTTCCTGCCCTGAGCCAAAGGAACTCTGTTCTCCTTTGAAATTGATTGTCTCAGGTGCATTTTCACAGAAACAGAAAACAGACTGTACACAGAAAGGTGACTTTCCCTCAGGGAGAATTGTGGGGAAATTCTCTGAGGAGATGCCCTTGAACTGAGCTTTGAAAGAGTCTGGGCGGAGCCACATGCAAATGAGTTGTCCAGGATAAATGAGGAGCGCTCTGTGACCTCTACTGTGACACAGATCTGGAGCAGACTCCAGTCCTGCCAACTGACTTCCAGACACTTCTCACACGACCCTCGGCGCAGACATTAACCAAACCCCTTCCGGCATCTGCCATGTTCAAGTACACCCTCATGCACTTCATTTTTCCACATTTCTTTCCATCATTTTCACTAATTTTATTCTGAAGATATTGTTTGAAGAAGAATGTGTCTCCTGTCACATTTATGGGGCAAGGGTCTGCACTTGCTGTTTTAAAAAAGTGGCCATGGTAAAAATAAGAACAAAGAGAGAGAAATAATGCTAATGAAATGTAGCCCAGCTGGGCTCTGGGAGGTGCCGGGCTGAGGCCTGTTCTCCTCAGGGACAGAAATGGGGAGGGCTAGGCATCAGGACACCCCCATCACCATCCCGAGCTCACCCAATGCAAGCAGAAAAGTTGATTGGTGACTAACAGAATCAATTCCTATATTGCTTTATCTGTGTCTCTCCCATGAGCACTAAAGAAACAGTAAACTAATAGCATTTGAGGAAGCCGAGTCCCAGCTAACTAAAACCTAAGGCCAAAGGTCAGCGGCTTCTGTGGCTGTGTGGTTCTCTGGCCACTACTGCTCTCTTCAGAGCCTGCTCTTCTGAGGCTCGATCTGTAGGATGCGGGGGGGGGGTGTGTGTGTGTGTGTGTGTGTGTGTGTGTGTGTGTGTGTGTGTGTGCTCGATCTGTAGGATGCGGGGGGGGGGGGTGCAGGGGGAGTTGGGGAATTGTACTTTGCATAATAGCCACAAGAACGTGATAACTCGCTCACATTTACAGGAGACACTCACATGTCAGGCACTGTTCTCAGCATTTACCTGGAGCAACTGTGTAAACCTTAGAGATTCCTATGGAAACAGCTCTGTTTTCTTTCCTAGTTCATACCCACAATACTGGGGCCTAGAATGGTTAAATGCCTACCTAAGCCAGGTATATATATATATATTTCCATATATAACCTCACTTCTTCATTCATCCATCAAAACACTCGTTCAGTATATAGACAGTTAGTACTTCCTATGTTTTCTTTGGTTTCACTTAAAACACAACCTCTTTTTAGAATGAAACTTGAAATTTCTTCTAGTTCCAGCTTCCTGTATGCTTGGACTAGATTATTCTGCTCCATAGATCCCCAGATGGCTTCCTGTGACTCTCTGTGGTCTGAGAGAATGGTACATAATCTAGACTCCTGTATGGATCCAGGCAGCCGTTTCTTTGGCTTGCAAGAGGAGTTGGCTGTTGATGGATCTTGCCAAGAACTGTACCACCTTGGGCTCTGGCCCTTCCTGGAGTGGGGGTTGGTGGGGAGGAGCAGGGTAATAACTGATGGAAGAGGAACTGTGGGGAGGAAAAACTGCGGCTCCTTCATTCGAGACAAGTACACAGTCCCCAGTCACAGCTGCATCTCAGGCCACCTCCTCCCTCTGCCCAGCTCTGGCTCCTAGCAGTCCCTTCCAGAGGCCCAGCAAAGGAGGCATCCCTCACCGTGGTCCTTGAAGCCCCAGGGTGTCCTCAGGTTCCACAAGCCCTGAAAGCCTTGGAGGTCATTGCATTTCTTCTTTATGTGTTTTGCTACATTAGCTAATGAGCATCTCTCCAGGCCCATTACCGGTTCCTCAAGTGCCGAGTGGCCTGGGCTCTAATGGCGACAGGCAGCCACTTGGCACACACAGGGAAGTGGTTCTCCTCCAGGCCGAAAGGGGAGATTGGATTACATGAGTGAGTGGTAGGGAAAGGTCACTGCTCCCCCACTCAGGTCTGCCCATCAGTAAGGAGAGCACAATCAGCAGTTCTGAAGCAGGATGTGTCATGCCCAGCCAGGCAGAGGGAGGCAGGAATGGGAAGCGGTCCACCTTTGCTCTCCTCTGAAATGGTCCGACTTCAAAAATAGCCCACAAGCTGCCCCAGACTTGACCCCTAACATCTCTGAAATTTAATTTCAAACGATGGTCTCAGCGATTCCATATGCTGCCCAATCTGGCCTAAACCCAGCGATAAAGGCAGGAAACAAATGGAATCGGAGGCTGCAGTCTGAGGAAGCAATTTGGGATGTGGTTGTGAGGGCTCCTGGGTAATCCTACTTAGCATAAATCAGGCTGCAGAACTGGGCTTGAAGGAGCTCCAAGGTCACCCACCGGTCCAGCTCCGGTTACAGCCGGTTACAGCCGCTAGAGGAGCTGACCAGGCTGTCCCAAGACTGACAGTGAGGAGAAGACAGGGTGTGATGTTTGCAAGCCTTGTCCATTCAAGGCTCCTGTGCTGGAAGCGTGGGGTGCTGGGGAGCAGTGGAACCTTCAGGAAGTGGAGCCTAGTGGGTGATTCTTAGGGGCGTGCCTTCCAAGGGAGGGGACTGGGGGACCCCAGATGCCTGTGAGCGTGCCTTTGGAGGGAGGGAACTGGGGGACCCCAGATGCCCTGTGAGTGTGCCTTCGGAGGGAGGGGACTGGGGGACCCCAGATGCCCTGTTCTGGAGATGAGACCTTTAATGTCCTCACATGCTCTTGCTATTTGAGGAGTCCTCTCTGAACACTAGCTCTGACTCCCAGCAGCCCCTTCCAGACACCAGCAGCCTCCCTCACCGAAGGTTGCTCTATGCTATTTAAACTTTTGGTCTCTAACACTGTGATCAGAATAAACTCTTCTCTGTACAAATTTAACCTACATCAGGTATTTGTTCAGAGTATCATCAACACATGCACCAACACCTATTATGCCCACGTCTCAGGGACCCGCAAAAGACCACCAGGGAGACCAAATCCTGTATGTAAAAGCAAAGAGCCTCTATCTTCAAGCTTAGAGCTTGGTCCCTCTGTCTGTCCGACACAGTGGTGAGAGCAGAGCCCTGAGCTCAGGTGGGGCAGAGTTTTTTGTCATATTAAAGGTTGGGGTGAGGGGATTTCCAGGGTTCAGGACCCTGATTGGCTGACATTTGTCTAGGGGGAGCTGTAAAACAAAAATAGGTGTGTGCTAGACTCAGGGACATCTGGCTACCTTGTCTAATGGTTGGAATGTTTGGGATGTCAGATACTTAGATGTAGGCGCTCCCTGGGTGAGGTCAGTTTATTGCTTTTCTTGGGTCTGGGTATTGATTGCCAGTAAGCCTGTCACAGAAGCTGGGGCTGGGTCTCTAAGCCTGTCATGGCCGCTGTATGGTCAAGCTGTTTTGAGGCCCACCCAGAGAGACTCCAAGATTACCACTCCACTCCAAGATTACCATTACCACTCCAAAAGGCTGGGACACCACGCCTCTTTAGTGAGCACCTCACATGTGCTACTCCAGCAACTCTCAACGTTTTTGGTCTCAGGACCTTGTACACTCTTAAAAATAATTGAGGAGCCCAAGTCAGGCAAGGTGGCACATGCCTAAAATCCCACCATGTGGGAGAATGAGGCAGGAAGGTCACAAGTTCAAGGCCAGCCTGGGCTACTTAGTGAGTTCTATTCCAACCTAAGCTACACAGTGAGACCCTGTCCCACAAAACTAAAACAACAAACATTATTGATAACATCTGGATCTATTTATAAGAATTAAAACTGAAGAATCACACAAATACTCATTCATTCATTATTTAAAAAGCAGTAACAAATCCAGTACATGTTCATGTGCAACATAGTTTCACAGACATAAACTACATTTTCAAGGGCAAAGATGTGGAATAAGAAGCTTCATGGCATCCTGGTATGTTGTAGAATATTATTTTAACTAGACAAAGATGTGTTACATTTATTACAATTATGCTGCAGAATATTACTTGACTGTGTAAAGGTGTGTTACTTTTGTTTATGATGCATTAGTTTAATTGTGTAAAGATACATATGTGTAACAAATGTGTTACATTTGTTTCACCTTGTCTGCTTAAAGCACCTGATTAGTCTAATAAAGAGCTGAATGGCCAATAGCTAGACGGGAGAAAAGATAGGCAGGGCTGGCAGGCAGAGAGAATAAATAGAAGGAAATAGGAGGTGGGAGAGAAAAAAGGAAGAACAAGAGGAGGAGGAGAGGACAAGGGACACGTCCCAGGCAGATGCCAGCCAGACACAGAGAAAAAGTTAAAGTAAGATATACAGAAGTAAGAAAGGTAATAAGCCTTCAGACAAAAGATAGGTAAAGAGAAGCAGGTTGATTTAAGTTTAAGTTACAAGAGCTAGCCAGAAATGTGCCTGAGCTAGGCCAAGCATTCAAAACTAATAATTTTAAGTCTCTGTGTCATGATTTGGGAGCTGGTTGGTGGCCCAAAAGAAAAAGCCTGGTACACTGATACATATTTTCAAACCCTTTTGATATTGTGTTTATTCAAAGGCACCTGGATCCCCACATCTGCTCCTGCATTCAACCAATAGCCATGAATTGGGCTAACCTGGTGTCCCAGGAACAGGTACTTGGAAATGGGAGGAATTTTAGCAGCCTTCTTAATTGTGGCTATGTGTCAGCATTACACTAAGCCCTTGATGAAGGGTTAAAGGTTGTTGTGACATCAGATCCAAAACCATATTTCCACGTTTTCCTGCTCTCTCACACGAGGTCCAACATGCAGTGTCTATCTTGAACCCAAATGCTTCACCGGCTCACGCGGACCTTCTACACAGCAATGTGTTTTGTGATGCTGTGAAAGCATCATGCTTGGCAGTAGATCTCCCATCAGGCTGAGGGGTTGGGGGACCACTGAGCTCCCGGTAGCTTAACAGATAAAGTTATACTCGAAGTTTATCCTTGGCCATAAACACCATCCATTGCTTTTGTTGCAAAGACAGACTCACTTTGCTAACTTTTGAGAAAACACGGGCCAGTTACTCTGAATAATGGTTTCTGCCCGGGTCTTCCAGCTAGAAATGCTGTTCAGTGAAGAATGGCTTCTTCGGCTCAGGGGCAAACAGGACAGAGTTTTGGCACAGAGCCTAGGGCTTTATCCTGGCTTATTTTGTCTCATAGGTTGCTAAAAAGACATGTATTCAAGGTAAGTTTCAGAACTTAAACATTTTCCTGCTCCCATAAGGACTTTGGGGAGTTGTTGGAAATGGAACCCAGGGCCTGGCACATGCTGCATCTCAGCCCTCATTGAGGACATTCTTAACCGCCCCTGGCACGTGTGGGCATTCAAGTGCGTGCCAGTGGAGACCTCAGTGACTGTGTGACAGTGTCGAGTCATTTCCTGGTTCTACTAAAATGCCGGCAGTTTTGTTCACTGGCAGAGCAAACAAAACAAGATGAAAATGGCAAGTGGTGTCCCAGAAACATGGTGAGGACTTCTAGGACACTTGAAGTGGTCTGGGGGTTCCCCTGGGATATGCAGACCATGACGAGGGAACCGTCAAGCAAGGGGGATGGGCCAGTTTCTGAACCTCCTGAAGTCTGGCTGAGAAGATAGATTGGGCAAACATAGCCACTCATGGTGTGATGTGGGCTAAGGTACACGCAAGGTGGAGATAACTGACATGCTTCACGTTGCAAACAACAACAAGGCCTTCATGATATCGGAATCCTTTGAAATAGGTCTTGATCAACCAGCAGGAACTCATCCAGGAAGAGAAGATGGACCTTATATTTTGAGTTGCACGAGGATCGGTGGTCCTAAGGAACCAAGGCTTTTGGAGACTTACCAAAAAAAGACAATAAACTTGGGTGTTTGTATTGACAATAACATCAGCCATATCATTGAGTATTCATAATGTATAAATCTGAAGCTGAGTAGTTCACTTACAGTATCATATCTCATTGTCTCCAAACACCTGTGAAATACAGGCCATTTGTTCTGAGAAGTTTAGAAACTTCCTCAAGGACACAGAACAAATCCACAGGGAAAATCAATGTTAAAGCCAGACTTGTCTGATGGCTGAGACCACATTGTTTTTCTTCCTTCCTTCCGTAAGCCAGGGGAAAGGAACACCCTGGCTCCTCAGCTCAGACCTCGGTTATTGCCCAGGAGACAGCTAAGGAAGCTCCATTCCTTCCATCAGGCCGTCTTCCACAGCTCCACCTCTGCTGTGAGACACACTTCCACCCACCACAGGCCCAGCCCAGCAATTCTGGGATTCCTCCCTCTCAGCCAGACCTGCTTCTGTGGTTGTGCCTGGGTGGTGACCTCTGTCAGGAGTCTAGTCAGCTCTGATCCACCAAGAAACCAGCTAATCCTGCTGAGATCAGGCGGACCTCCTCTCCAGACCCCTCCCCACCTCTCTCCTCTGTGGTCTGCCTATGTGTTAATCCATTTAGACATACCTCCGAAACCTCCTGATCCATCCTCAGGCTGTGGGCACTCATGTCTGGAGCCTTGGTTCCTGCTTTTGCTCTTTGGAGCTTTACTTTTCTTCTCTGTAAAATGGGGACACGAGCACCCCATCTCAACATTAAGGTGATACTTAGCAATGGCCAGGCCCCAGGAGGCACCAAGTCAATGTGCATAGCTCCTGCCACTCTGGTCACTTTAAACCCATCAAATAGCTTGAAACAGTGCCTATATATGCACCTCTTTGGTTTTCCTACAGGTAGGGCTATTCCGGGATACTCACTCCCACTGGGGACTCTGTCGATGCCCTGTGCCTGTGAAAGCTCCTTGGATCCAAGAAATGTGACAGTCCAGGAACCTGACTCCAAAGCCCAGCTTGGCTTGCAGAGTCTGATGGAACACATTAGCAGGCCACCCTGACATCCCTTTCTGATTTTACACAGCACTCCTAGCAGGATTCCTCGATCAGGTAGACCAGTCTCTCCTAGAGGCTGAGGCAAGAGGATTGCCATGAGTTCCAGGCCAGCCTGTACTAAAGAGAGTCTCTCAAACAAACAAACAAAGCTGGGCATGTTGGACTATTTCTGTCATCTCAGCACTCTAGAAGCAGAGGCAGGAGGGTTGGGAGTTCAAGGACATTCTCCTTGGCTACATAAAGAGTTTGAGGCCAGCCTTATCTAAAAAAATAAAATTAGAAACAAAACAAACAAAAAGTTCATCCCTGCTATGGCCACTCTATCAAGGAAAGCACCTTGGTGCTGTGGGATGACCCTCTGTATGCTGTGAATATGTATTGCTCTCATTGGTTAATAAAAAAGCTGATTGGCCTATAGCAAGGCAGAATAAGACTAGGCCAGAAAGCCAAACTGAAAATGCTGGGGGGAAGAAAGACAGAATTAGAGAGACACCAGCCAGCTGCTAAGCAAGCAGGACATGTAAAAAAAAATGGAGTAACAAGCCACGAGGCACATGGCAGAATATAGATTGATAGAAATGGATTAAATATAAGAACTAGCTAGTAATAAGCCTGAGCTGTCGACTGAACTTTTATAAGAAATATAAGCCTCTGAGTGGTTATTTGGGAACTGATGGGCAGGACAGAAAACATTGTTTATGCCCTGGGCTCCAGCTCTGACCTCCATAAAACCAATGTTTTTGGTTTCTGAGTCTAGAGAAAAAAAATGCCTCCAAATTATAGCTGCCAAGGTTACTGACTCTGTTCTTCATTCAAGATAAGCTCTTTGCATCAGGTGAACCCCCAGAGGACAGGGTGCAGCCCTTAGCTGCACCCAGCAACTCACCAAGCTCTACCTCCAGAGCTGGGGAGGGACAGTCGCTCTGAGAAGAAGCTTTCATTAGGCAGGGAGCTGCCAAAGGGGGTTGTGTTTCACTCGTTTCTCCTTCATTCTCCTTGGAACCCGGAGGGCTGAGGAAAATAAACGCATGCTCTGGTAAATGTGTATGACGCTGAATTACTTCCATTTCTAGAGAAAAGTAAGCAGTGGGGACACCACACCTGTGGATCATATCCACAGCCCCTGGTTGAGCTGAAGTCCCCTAAAATTAACTTTCTCCATCACTATTACCTTCCAGATCAAAAGCCAGCTAGTGTGGGATGATTCAAAAGGAAGAGAAGCCAGAGGTAGAGGCAGGGAGGAAGAGGAGGAGAAGGAAGGAAAAAGGGAAGTGAGAGGAAAAAGGCACAGGAAATAGAGGAGGAAGAGGGGAGAGAGGGAGGGGAGGGAGGGAGGGAGAGAGGGAGAGAGGGAGAGAGGAAAAGAGGAAAAGAGGGAGGGGGGAGAGAGGGAAGGGGAAGGGAGGGAGAGAGGGAAAGAGGAATGGTGGCAGAGGTGGTGGGGGAGAGATGAGGAGAGGGGAGGTGGATTGTGTTCTGGAAGGGGAGGTGGCTTAAAATGAAACGAGTGTGACATCGGATGGAAGACAGAAATAGCGTTCTTTTCTCAAACACAGATTCTCCATTTTTCTACTCTAATAAGAGATCTGCCGTGCAGACGTCCTCTCTATGCCTACCTCACTCAAGACACAGGCACAATTGGTTTCATCAGATGGAAAAGCTTGGCCCTGGAAAATGAGCGGCCCCAATTCCAAACTCTGGCAGGTTAATCTCCACAGAAATCTGGTGACAGAGTCAAACCGTGAATAAAAACAAACTAGACAGGCCAAGAATACTCAGTGCAGTGTGTGTGGAGGGTCGCTATGTGACAGTCACCAGCAGCAGGACAGAGAGCTGCATCTTCAGATGACAGTATGCAGGATGCTCATCCCACCGACTCTTAGTGCCCACCCGCCACCTTGCCTGACCTAGGAGATGCCACACAGATAGCAATGTCATCCGTCCTTTTCATGTTTACAAACAAGAAACAGTCGACCATCTTTGTTCCTGTCAAGACTCTTCAGCTAATCTTAGAACTAGACTGATTTCAGACTTGCTTGGACCAGCCTCCATATGTAATAATGTGGCAAGAATGCAGCACCCAGGATCACCAGCCCATGGGTGGCACCACCCACAGTGAGTTGGACACCCCCACATCAATCATTAGTCAAGAAAATGTACCACGGGCTTGCCCATAAGCCAACTGGGCGGGGGCATTTTCTCTATTGAATTTTCTCAATTCTTTTCTAAGTCGGCTCTAGCTTGTGTCAAGTTGACATAAAACTAGCCAGCATGCTCCCTCATCTACCCTTTCTGGACAATCCAGGTTGACCTGCCAAGAGGTGGCATCCCCCACATTGGGCTGGGCCCTCCTACATCAGTTAGCAATCAAGAAAATTTCCTATGGGTCCACCCACAGGGCCATCTGAGACAGGCAGTTCCTCAGTTGAGAGTCCTTCTCCCCAAGTATGTCTAGGTTTGTGTCAAGTTAACATCTGAAGCAATCAGTCACAGGGGCCTTTAGGAGGTGATCAAGTCATAAAGGTGGGTCCCCTAGGATAGAAGGTCCTCTGGCTACTTCCCTGGGGACCCTTCCCTCAGAGCAGAGTGTGACCAGTAGCTTGTTATTTAGGTCCCAGCTCCAATGCTACTTCTCAAGAGACACCCATGTCTACGGCCATACCACCCTGAATGTGTCTGATCTCGTCTAATCTTGGAAGCTAAGCAGGGTCAGGTCTGATTAGTACTTGGATGGGAGACACCCACAATACCATGTGCCCCACAGTTAAAATAAGTGCAGGGTCACAAAGAAGAAGGACACCTTGTCCAGGCAAGGTAAACTTTACTCAGTTTGTTTGTTTGATTTTTTGTTTTTCAAGACAAGGTCTTACTGTGTAGCTCTGGCTACCCTGGAACTTACTATGTACACCAGGCTGGCCTCACACTTACAGAGATCAACCTGACTCTGCCTCCCGAGTGCTAGAATTAAAGGTATGGGCTACCAGGCTGATGTAAACTTTACTCTTGATTGAGAGGGTTGTGCTAGTGTGTGTGTGTGGTGGGGAGGAGGAGAAAAAGAGAGAGAAACAGAGGTGGACGGGTAGAGGGAGGGATTGTGAGTCTGACCTCACAGTCTTATTCTAGTGACTAGTCTATAAAGAAGTAGCAACCAGGAAATAGAGGAGGAAGGCCGGGTGTGTGTGTATGTGTGTGTGTGTCAGGGCTCCAAGGAGAAAAGGGTCACTGCTCCAGACCATCAAATTCCTGGACTACAGCCATGGGCCTTTGTGTAAACAAAGGTTTTCCTGGGTGGTGAGGGTTTAAATATTTGTGAGTCTTACAAGGTGGGGGAGACAAAAGGATCTTGATTTCTTGTCCTAAACTCAAATTTTTATAGTATTCAATAGGAAAGATCATATTTGATATTGCTTACACCACAACTTTTTCCCAGAAAGTTTCTTCTTAAGAGTCATTAAAATTCTTCAATATAGAGCTTTCTTAAAGTTGCTGGGGTATTGAAGTGCTGGTGACATTAATCCTGGTGTATGCATTTGGGGTAGACATAAGGCCAGACAGTGGGATACCTCCTAGGGTCTGCCCAGTTTGGAGTGACTTCCTCTCCCCAGTTCCAACTCTCTAGCCCTGTGGGCCAGCGCACCAGATCCGGCTGAGGGGCCAGGGCACTGCTGTAGGACCGACCATGTGCCCACTCAGCATTTTGAAGTCAGGCTTGGAGGACACAGGAAGTTTTTAGTTTTCAGTCCAGAGCCCACTCTCTCTCCTTCCTCCTTCCCTCCTCTTCCCACTGTGGACCCCATTGTCATGCTGGTGGTATTCCAGCCCTCAAGAAGCAGCCCCCTCTTGCAGATTTCTCTGTCACAAGATTCAGTAAGTAGCTTTTTAATTTCATTGCCAAGGGTTGTCAGGACAGTGCAGAGAAAATTGCCAACGATTCTGAAAACAGCCCATGAATCTAGGGCAGAGCAGACGAGAACAAGGGAGGGCCCCAGCGGGGGCGGGGCATTGGCAGCCACTTGGATGAGAAAG